TGATGTCTCTAAAGTTCAGTGAATTCTTCGCAAAAAGAATAAGTTATCAGGAACACGTCAGAGATGAGTAGTCACGTGACCGAATAGCACCGACACATTGGAAGCGGACGCGTACGAAGAATGTGCCGTTCCGCGACGAAAACAAGCTTAAGCAATGGCGTCTTCGAACGGGTACACTCGATAAGTATTCCGACAATTTTTTGTTCGTAGCATATTTTATATCGATCATTTCAACAAATTATACGTGTTTTGGAAATATTTGAGTGAAATTAGTCTAGATTTAGTTAATTTTATGGAAGTAAACCTCTCAAATAGCCGTACCCGTTAATCTGTACAAGTGCCCATTATCCAGACAAAGCTGAGGCCAACAGGATCGGATCAATGATCTCTACAATGACATCCTTGCCCATCATTTCCAACAGGTGTTGAAGAAGAGAGAGAGAAACAGACCACCTTGGACATGTTTTTCAAGAAGCCAGCTGCCGAAAAACAAAGGATGGAACAAGAGGAGTTGACACTGCAAGCTCCGATAACCTCTCCTGAATCTGACTCCGATTAAAAAACAATAAAAAGAGATCTGCTGCAATGTGTAAAAAGTCTGTATCTGTATGAATGTATGAAGAAACTGTTCCTCCACCTCCTCCTCACAACATCTGACTACCCGGCATAATTGGTGACTGCTCCATTTTTTTATGGTACAGTGCAGTTATTTTATGCTGTGGAACGAATTATATGTTTTAACACGTATTTCTATGGGAAAATGCATTTTGTATAACGGACGTGCACCTGGAACGGATTAAGTACGTTATACGAGGCACCACTGTACATGCGTACATACCTATTACCCTAGGGATGTTGAGCACTTTTGAGAACATATGCCTTATGATATGCATAATTATCTTTCAAATAATTTATTCTTGCTTAAGTTTTACACTAAGGACAACTATTTTTAAAGAAATGAAATGAAAGTATATTTTAATTAGCATAAAAATTAAATAAAACTGATTGATGATGAATATAAAGTCACAATAAAACTGAAAAAAGATATTTTTTTCTGACATGTCACAGTTTGCCATCCTTACTCTATGGATTTGCTTTTGAACTCTGACAAAATGTAGCTCCTTTTCCTTATTGACTTTACTAATGTAAGGTTTTCTTCTGGCTACATGGACACTCAGGCCTGTGTCTTTTTGTTTATTTTGAATTGTTCTTGGAGCTACACCTCCATTGAATGGGTGTCTCATCATTTATCTGGCTTACAAGTGTAATGCCACACTAACCTATTTAAATATTTGAATGTTATGGGATTGGTCAAGTATACAAGTTTAGTTTATTGTTGGGTTTAAGGACTCCCAAAAGTCCTTAAAAACAAAATAATAACTAAAAGTAGTGCCCAAAACATAAAATGATTGGACTTCAACTCCTTACAGACCCAGAGCCTCCAAATCCAAAGAGATGGTCACACTACTTGAGAGGTAAATGTTAGTTCACAGATGTTGATAAATGTGTTGATGGTACAGTGGTACCTCAGGTTACGAATGCCCCAGCATACGAAATTTTCAGGATACGACATGAAATTCGAACATATTTTTGCTCCACGATACGAACAAAAACTCACCATACGATGTTACATTAGTTCGCATTTTTCATTTGTTTTTCTTACTACAGTTATTTTTTAAATGTATTACTTGGCTTTAATTTGAGTATGTTTTTCGCGTTGGAACGAATTTAATCGTATGGGAAAAGATGATCCACCTTACGACATTTTCATGATACGATCTCAGTTTTGGAACGGATTAATTTCGTATCCTGAGGTACCACTGTATATATATGTGGGTTGTTCAAAAAGTTCCCAAACTTTTTGAATAGCATGCCTTCAGTTGATTATTTTTTAATCTACTTGGATGTGTTGTGTCTGCGGAAACTTCCCGAGTAACTCCTTTAATCTGTTTGTTGATATCTTGTTTTGGTGATTAGTTATGGCCATTTATGTGAAGGGGTGTTTGTGGGGTTTGGTGAAAAATCGGATCCATGGAAATGAGCTCTTTGAAGCAGCAGCATTGTTGTGTGAAACTCGGGAAATCCTTCACGGAAACTTCCCATGGGTGGGTGGAACACCCCCACCCCAAAAAAGCTTGACAAGTTAGCTCGAATGTTAAGGTGATGTTGACTGTTTTTTCAATGCAAAAGGGGTTGTGCATCATGAATACCTACAGGCCAGACAGTCAACACGGAATACTACCTGGGGGTTATGAAATGCTTAAGAGACAGAATCAGGCAAAAACGGCCTGAACTTTGGAGGTAGGTGAGTGGTTTTTTTTTTCACCACGACAACGCACCGGCTCATTTGTCCCTCAGAACTCCTGAGTTTTTGGTCAAAAACAAGACTGCTGTGCTTCCCCACCACCCTACTTACTTGACCTGGCCCCATGCAACTTTTTCCTGTTCCCCAAACTAAAAAACATGCTCAAAGGAAAAAATTTGCCACCATTCCAGTGATAGAAAAAAAAAATGACGGAGAAGCTTATGAGCATTCCATAAAAGGTGTTCCAGGACTGTTTCAAAAAGTGGAAACACCATTGGGATAAGTGTATACATTAGGGGAGGAGACTACTTTGAAGAGGACCCTGACAAATAAATTGTAAGTGAAGTATTTTTTTTGTAATAAATAAAGTTCGGGAACTTTTTGAAAAACCCTTGTATTGCTTTGTACAAGCATTTTTAGTTGTTTCTTAATTAAACCTTAGATTTTAAACCTTTAATTTTTTATCAAGTTTTGCAGCCCATTCAATTCTGCAGAGCAAAGTTTCAGTAGAACCATATATTTTGTAAAAAGTTACTCTTTAAGGTTCTTTTTAACTTTTTCCTTTGTGTAAGGATAGGCTGACTAATTTCTTTGTGCCATAACAGGATGGAGGAACCACAGCTGATGAATATATACCCACATTGTTAGAATTCCTAAAAAACAGTATGGATGAGCATTGTTAACAATTTGCTAATACATTATTTGTGATATTGATTTAGTAGTTTAAAAAAATGCATAAATCTCTCTAAAAGATTTTATTTTAAACTTTAATAATGAAAAATATCAAATTTAATAGTTATACTGATTTAGGTTTTCCATGGTCAAACCAAGCATATTTTTCAGATGAACTTAATTACGAGTGATCGAAATTTATTAAACAAAATTATTGTAAAACTTATTGCATTGTAAATTGCAATTTAGATTTATAATTTTGCATTTTGCACAAAACTATAGTTCTCAGAAAACAGGACTGATTCTATCAAATTAATAAAATGGAATTCAAGATTTTTTCTTTGTTTTTGTGCAATTAAGCATATCCACTTCTGCATTGATTTTACAAAGCAAATCTAGGTCCTTATTATGTAACTTGTTTTCAAATAAGGGTATTCAAAAGTGAGTATCTGTGTCTTGTTTTTGAATAGCTTTTCTGATGAATTGATTAATCCAGAAATTAAAAGTATTAAAATTAGATAATTACTAGTATTGAATTTTCTGTAGTTATTAATTACAGTAATTATGATTAAAATATTTAAAAAAATCTATTTAAAAAACATATAGTTATTCTTAATTTATTAGAGTGAGTGAAAAAAGAACTTAGCAGAAGAAAAATCATTGATACTGGTAACTTAGAATAGTTCTAAGAGTGCTGATTACTCAAAGTTATCCAGATCATTTAACATTAAAACATAGACAGCTTTTACAATTACTTTATATACACTTCAGTGGTGCTATATTGGTTTGCATAAAATTTTATATCTAAATATATAAAATTGCTTGTCCTGACTGACTCATTCATTCATTCACTGATTCATCATCGCCCAGAGCAAACCGCTTAACCTAAAGAGGTGAAATTTGGTACACAGTTAGGGTACGTCATGGAAACGCACACTAAGAAAGGATTTTTCGAAATTCCAACGCGGGGGGGNAATAATATAAATAAAAATATTTTCATACAACTCATTTTCTGAAGAATCTGAAGTATTTATGGAAAAATACTTCAGATTCTTCCATTATCTAATATAAATATTTTTTAGTATTAAAAAAATGGGTATAGAAGAGACCTTATACGTAATTTATCCTGCACCTACTCCAACCAACTAGCCACATGCAACATTTCCAACAGATGCCAGGATTGCAACCCTAACCTCGCATGCACTATAATAGAGTACAATCAACATTTAAACACCATTTATAAAGAAATTGCTGGCCATATAGATACCTAACTCACATACATGAGTCCAGCACAGTAAATAAGTTATTAGGTAACAGGAAGGACAGGACCAATGAAAGTCAAGCTCCAGGAGTATAGTGTTCCAATCAGGGACAATAGGTTCCAAAGGGATTTAATCTACATTGGTTCCACTAAACACTCATTACGAAAAAGGTTTCAAGAGCATCGGTATGATATTGCAAATAAAAGGCATACCATCACCCTGTCCATATACGCCACTGACCCTGACATGCATGTGGACCTCCATAATGCCAAGTTAATTAATTAATTTAATTAGGTAGTCCTTTCATATTGATCATATTCAGAAACTGGAAGACTTGGAAATTTACAAGGACAGTCTGACCGGCAAATGTATTAACTTTAAAGACAGCAACACTGTATCATATGCATGGAGATACATTTATGAAAAACTGGGCAACACTAACATATATTAATTTATTGGAGCCATTGTTTACACCTTAAAAATTATTGTGTAGAGGTAGTTATATTTTTATAGTTTTTGTAATGTCAACCATTCAAATGGTTTTATACTCTGCTTTGTTCATTAGTGCATACTGTAACTCGGTGAAACTATGTAACGGATATGTTCCTGTAATGCTCACTGCGGGGCAGGACTTTGTACCTTGTTTTAAATGTACAACTAAACTAATGAATGAATGAATGAATATGTTTGGTAGTGTTCCAAATTTTTAAAAATTATTTTTAAATATGTTCATTTTATGCATTCTATTTTGGAATTTTGCTGGTTAAAAACTTGATGCAGACTGTGGGTATGGTTGAAAATATTTATTTTGATTAAAATTTGTGTTACTGGAGTTCAAAGGTTCTTGATTGTGTGTGAATTGGTTCCAGTAATTTGATAAGAAGATAGTTTAATTTTAGCATTAAGATGAATATTCATCTTCTGATAAAGTCAAATCTCTTGAACATGTTGAAAATATAAAACTGAATTTGATATCTAGTGTATAATTAGATTAAGAATATTTAATACTAAATATAATTAATTAATAATAAAATCAGTAAATATTGTATAAAAATTTATTTATAAAATTTTGGTAATTGTAAATTTGATTGTTTAGAATTTGAAAATGCTGAGACTCTGCTCATATCTGAAGTAAATATGCTTTTGGAGCATAGAAAACAGCAGAATGAGAGTGCAGAAGAGGAACAAGAACTGTCGGAAGTTTTTATGAAAACTTTAAGTTACTGTCAACGATTCAGTCGTTTTAAAAATCGTGAAACCATATCCGCTGTAAGAAGGTAAATTTCGCTATTATTTATTACTATTATCATTATTTGTTAAATTAAATCAATATATTATGTAACTTATTCTTTTAGTCTTCTAATGCAAAAAAAACTTCATAAATTTGAGCTTGCACAATTAGCAAATTTATGTCCTGAAACACCTGAAGAAGCAAAGGCATTGATACCAAGGTAAATAGCTATTAATTTAAATTAAATGAAGTTTTTATTAAATATTTTTTAAACATTAAAATAAAATAGAAAATTTTTATTACATTTTGATCAAACTAATCAATATGAATTTTTTTAGCATTCTAATTTCAAACTATAACTTTATATTATGTATGTATTTACATCTGAAAACATATGTACAGAATTACATCAGTAATTCAAAAATTTAAAGAAAAAAAATTATTTATTTGTTTTATTTCTAAATGTATTGTTTGATTCAACTATTAAATGAAAGATATCAAATTTCTCTTGTATGCTGTAAAATGGATGAATCAGAATCTACCATCATACACTTTAATATCATTTTAAAGGATTAAAATGATGTTATATGTTTCTTAAAAAATTATTATATGATTATAGATCAGCTGTGAATACTCTAATGATCTTGACATAAATTTAGAATGATAGATAAAAAGTAAAGGAGAAAAGTTTAGGAGAAGTCGTAAGGATGAAGTAGCTGCTGTGGTTATTCAGGCAAATTAATCAATGCATCTTTAACAGTGGGTGAAGTTTAAATACAGTAATTTTAATATTTTTGACCCAGTTAATGGGTTATCTTCAGCCATGGTCAGCTGAAAGTAGAAGGCTGATGTCAAAAGGAAGATGAGATATATGTTAATAAAGTAAACAATTGAAGTCTACTGCACATTGTATACTTTATTATAATAAGTACAATAAATTACAATATAACAGTAAGAAAAGTGTTTACCTTGTGGCATATTAACACACACACACACACACACGTATATATATATATATATATATACCATTCAAATGGTTTTATACTCTGCTTTGTTCATTAGTGCATACTGTAACTCGGTGAAACTATGTAACGGATATGTTCCTGTAATGCTCACTGCGGGGCAGGACTTTGTACCTTGTTTTAAATGTACAATTAAACTAATGAATGAATGAATGAATATGTTTGGTAGTGTTCCAAATTTTTAAAAATTATTTTTAAATATGTTCATTTTATGCATTCTATTTTGGAATTTTGCTGGTTAAAAACTTGATGCAGACTGTGGGTATGGTTGAAAATATTTATTTTGATTAAAATTTGTGTTACTGGAGTTCAAAGGTTCTTGATTGTGTGTGAATTGGTTCCAGTAATTTGATAAGAAGATAGTTTAATTTTAGCATTAAGATGAATATTCATCTTCTGATAAAGTCAAATCTCTTGAACATGTTGAAAATATAAAACTGAATTTGATATCTAGTGTATAATTAGATTAAGAATATTTAATACTAAATATAATTAATTAATAATAAAATCAGTAAATATTGTATAAAAATTTATTTATAAAATTTTGGTAATTGTAAATTTGATTGTTTAGAATTTGAAAATGCTGAGACTCTGCTCATATCTGAAGTAAATATGCTTTTGGAGCATAGAAAACAGCAGAATGAGAGTGCAGAAGAGGAACAAGAACTGTCGGAAGTTTTTATGAAAACTTTAAGTTACTGTCAACGATTCAGTCGTTTTAAAAATCGTGAAACCATATCCGCTGTAAGAAGGTAAATTTCGCTATTATTTATTACTATTATCATTATTTGTTAAATTAAATCAATATATTATGTAACTTATTCTTTTAGTCTTCTAATGCAAAAAAAACTTCATAAATTTGAGCTTGCACAATTAGCAAATTTATGTCCTGAAACACCTGAAGAAGCAAAGGCATTGATACCAAGGTAAATAGCTATTAATTTAAATTAAATGAAGTTTTTATTAAATATTTTTTAAACATTAAAATAAAATAGAAAATTTTTATTACATTTTGATCAAACTAATCAATATGAATTTTTTTAGCATTCTAATTTCAAACTATAACTNTCAGATTCCTTTTTCTGTCTTTGCTCTGAGATTAAACATATCTTCTAAAATATTCCATAAGCAATTCCCTTTTGGATAATCATTGTCAACTAGATTAACTAAATAATAAGTTTGACTAATTTTATTTAATAAATTTCTTGATGTTGATTCTTCAGGGTACAGCTTAGCCCATTGTTCATTCCACAGTGCAAATGCTTCATCCTGAAAATAATATATTTATGAATCATTTGTGAATTATTTATTATTGAAAATGATAATTTAACTGAATTACCTTCCACACTCTAAAGCTTAGTGGATCCACTACGGTTGGCTGAATAATCTCTCGTCCTGGAAATACTCCCCATGTAACAGCATTTGGCATGTCCATATGAAAATTATTAAAATCTTCATCACCCTGTAAATTTTAAGTTCTTTGTTCATTGAAACTGATAAATTATTAATATAATATTATCTATATTTGATATGTAATGAAATTAACTCTTTGTTTAATAGAGTTATAAGAAAAATGCTGCTAGGAAATTTGAATAATCAGAAGTTTTTTTGGTTTCAAGAAAAAAAAAGATCAAAGTTATGATTAAAACTAAATGAATAAAAGTTACATAGTGAGAAAAATGTAATGAAAAATATGATTTCAACAATAATTGAAAAGCCAATTTCCAAAACTGACGCAATGTAAATTAATGGTACTTTGATATTTTGCTTTAAAAGAAGTATATATATGTTCATTTTCTAAAAGACTTATTCACTATGTGTGACTTTAGAAATAAGTCAGTTACTCTTGTGAACATCATATCTCCTACCCACTAATCAGGCAACCTTTTTTGAAGTTCCTCTTCAGAAAAATAAAGCAATACATTTATTTTCAGCAATTTTTTAGCTAAAACAATCTAGAATTGTTAGATTGTGATGATTCATAAGCATAATTTTTTCATGATATTTCCTTTCTAGAGAAGTATTTGAAAACAAAGCAGGTTCAGGGGGAAAAAACTATTGATTGACAATGATGGGACTTGTAATAAATTTTGATGTGATGCTTAAGTACATTAAATTTAATTTCAAAGTATTAATCATTTACTATTAGTTATGTTAGTTATGTATAAAATCAAATGTAGTAATTATTATGGAAGAAAAAATTAATGATAAATGAAATAAGAAAACATTTTTTCTTGTTTTCCCAAAAGGTTATTTCATGAAGATAAGTTGTTTTGGAAATAGTCTCATCAATTATGAATATATTTTGTTAGATTATCATGCAAAATAATCATATCATATATCATTTTATAAACTTAGGTAGCAGATAAAATTAGAAGAAATGTTTTAATTGTTTAATTAATTAAAACATTATTTCTAATTTTTTGATAATATCACAGTAATAAGTTAATAGATCAAAGTTTTATTTGAAGGTTTAAAATTAGAAACAATATTTTAAAAATATTCTTCATAATCAAGACAAGTTTAATATAGTGTGCAATGTTAAATTATTTCTTAATTTTGATTTTGACAAAAACAATTACAATCTGTAAAATTGTATTTTTCAAAATACATTGATACAGATACTCACAAACAACAGTGTTTTGAAATGGAGTTTAGTATTCTAACTTGTTAAATTGATTATTACAGAATTTAATATTTACAGAAATGTCTATGCAAGATTATCAGTTAAACTATACCATATTGATCTAAATAAATAAAGTTTTTCTTCTTTAAAATGTCTATAATGTGAATATTTTAATCCTCTTAAAGAGATGTGTCAGCATTTATGTTTACTTGTAGTTCATTGAAAAAATAATAAAATTAAATGACTTACCTTTGCATTAATAATGTGATAATTTACAAGTGGGAAATTTTTAAGAACTGCTTTTAGAGCAATAATATTTGCTTTGCATGTAAAAAATTCTAAATATGCCTAAACATGCATAAATAATTTTAAACAATATTATTATTACATTTTAATACAAAGTTAGAAATAATGTAAAAAAATATATATATATTTGTTACCTTTTGGTAGACATAACCTCCAGGAATTCCCCATCCAACGCACTGATCTGTAGAACATAAGCCATTAACATTGGGTTGTGAATTAATAGTTAAAATACCTTTTTTATTAAATGATGATAGTTTTTCTGCAATCAGAGTTGTTTCAGCACTTAACTCTGAATCATTCCATGGAGTTTGTGTTACCTATAATAACACAAACTCTTGTTAACAGTAATTCAGAATTATAATGTGCATATTCTAGGTTTTCAATCATTATAATAAAATTCAGGAAATCCTCTTTGTTTCATAAAATATTAGAAGATGGAATTTTCTTCATTTAAAATAATACATATATAATAAATAATGTACAGTTAAAGTAAAATATAAATTATGTACAGTGTGATTCCTATTTATGAGTTTTCACTATATGGTATAAGAATTTCATACAAGCTTTCTTTTATATCTCTTCCCCATATAGGAGATGAAATACTCAATACAATGAGCTCACCAATATTTATAAGATCAAGACATTCTAATCATGAATGTTAATGAGATTGAAATTCTCTTGCACTTCAGTTAGATGGCTTCCAGTCTCCATGTTTTTTTGTTGTTTCATTTACATTATCACTATCTCTAGAGAATGAAGATTCATACTTTGTTTCTAAATTCTGTCTGTGGTTAAAATTTCATGGATTTAAAAGCAATTTTATTTTACTCTGTTTGTTTCAGTTTTTTGTTTTCTTGTATTAAATAAGGAAATGTCTGATAACTTACATATTTGTTTGTTCACAAATAACCTAATCAACTCTTGTTTATTTTATTTTCTTTCAGAGTCATTGGTTGATAGAACATAAGTATTTTGTTAACTTGAATGTTTTGGAACTTTGGATAGATGATTGGTTATGCCAGAATGTAATACAAATTCCTACCATAAAAAATAATTTTTCAAAATTAATTATTATTATTATGTTGGATTTAGTGGATTATACTCGGTTGACACCGGTGGTTGTGTACTATGCCAGACCAGAGTCAAGGCATAGAAACCAAAAAAAAAACTAAAATTAAATAAGTGTGTTAGTGTCTGTATTCAGGAATTTCCTAACAATATGGCATGTATTCAGTATAGTGTCCTTCTGTATATATTTCTATTCAATTGTAATGTTTTCAGGCTTTTGTGTAGTGTGTGTGGTGTCATACCTGTACAGGAGAGAACGACAGGTGCAATAAGCACCCTTTCCATCCTCCACAGATGCCTTATTTCCTGGATGAGTTCTGTGTACTTGCTAATTTTTTAGTGAATGTGTTTTGTATATTGTGAGTGTTTGGAATGGATATGTCTATAATGTATGTGATTTTATTGTGTTTGTCAATGAGTGTGATGTCTGGTCTGTTGTGGTAAATTGTTTTATCTGTGATTATGGCTCTGTCGTAATACATTTTGTGCGTGTTATTTTCCAGTACTGTCTGTGGAATATACTTGTAGTATGGTTCGTGGATGTCTGCCAATTTGTGTTTCTTTGCAAGCTCTTGGTGTATTATATTTGCTACTTGATTGTGTCTATGTAAGTAATCTGTCTGTGCCAAGAGCTTGCAACCAGAAGTGATGTGTTGTATAGTTTCTGGCATGATGTGACATTTTCTGCATGTGTCATTTGTGAGTGTTGTATCTTTGAGTATGTGTTTTCTGTAGTTTTTAGTATTTATGACCTGATCCTGTATGGCAATCATGAATCCTTCCGTCTCCCCAAAGAGGCATCCCCGATCTAACCAGCTGTTTGACGCAGTTTTGTCAACAAAATCCTGGGCCAGGTCGTAAGGATGCCTGCCATGGAGAGCCTTTTGAGCCCATGATTGCTTAATGTTGTCTATGCTTTTTATATGTTGTGTCATGTCTGTATGTTGTGAGTGTAAGTTTAATGGTGTGTTATTTGAGTCTGCTAGAGTTACTGCTTTATGTAACTGTGATGTTTCTTGTTTCTTGTAGAAAAACTCTCGCAGTGACTGTATTTGTTTGTAGTGAAGGTTAACTATGTCAATCAGGCCACGTCCGCCTTCTTTACGTGGAAGGGTTAATCTTTCTGTGGCGGATTTAGGATGATGTTGTTTATGCTTAGTAAGTGTTGTTCTTGTTTTCCTTTGGAGTTGCTCGAGATCTGTGTGAGTCCAATGTATAACTCCAAAAGAGTATGTGAGTACTGGGATGACATATGTGTTTATTGCTTTAACTGTGTGTTTTGCATTTAACTGTGTTCTGAGGATAGCATTTAACCTACTTTGGTATTCTTTAATTAACCTTTGCTTTGTTTGTGTATGTTCTGTTAGTTTGGCCTATTGAAATCCTAAATACTTGTAGAAATCGCTCTCTTCCATGGATTCAATAACGTCTCCATTTCCAAGTGCAAAATCTTCTTTCTTCAGGACTCCTTTGTCTATGTGAAGTGTTTTGCATTTGTCTAGGCCAGCGTTTCTCAACCTCTAACGAATCGTCGCCCCCTTCAATAAAACTGTTACCTGCTATTGCCCTCTTCGCTTCAAAATTCCGATGCCAAGGACCAAGACTAACGCCAAATTCGTACTGCATTGAATAGACTTGACTAGTATAACATTGTTTGTTTAATTATTGTACGATATAATGAATAATATAAAATATTTAATTATTCTTAATATAATGTTTTACTATATTGCCCAGAAAATTGTTTTTTGCCCCCAAAATATAAATTGTTACTAATCACCCCCTCGACATGGAAAAACGCCCGCATGGGGGCAATATCGCTCCTGTTGAGAAACACTGGTCTAGGCCAAACTCCATTTGTATGTCCTTGGTGTATGAATGTGTGATTTGTAAGAGTTGATAAATATCTCCACAGAATGTGGGTGTGGGTGTGGGTGTCATTATTTTTGATAGTAATTAACACCCATTTATGAGAATGAATGTTAATTACTATCAATAATAATGAAGTTTCAGTATCCAATAGCATCAGGAGGCTTACTTTGCATATTTGAACATCAAACTGTGTGTGAACACTAAGAGACTAACATTCAATATATTTACAAGTGGCATGACCTCAAATATGCCATGAAGCTTACTGTTACCCTTGGATGCTGAAACTTTGGAATTAATGGTATTATTGAAACTAGATAAGACCTAGATATACTTGGTATCCTACTGCAGGGATGGCAAACCTATGGCATGCGTGCCCAAAGTGGCACGTAAGGAGAAATCATCTGGCACGTAATGTATCATACGATTTCTGTCTTTTTCAATAATCTTTTCGGTTTATTACCTGATCATCCTTTTTTCAGTCAGCTTTTTTACATTTATTCTAATTGAAGCATATTCGTTTAATTTCTTTAAATATCGTTATTCTAAGTCTGAAACTTTGGCACGCATAAACATCTTTAAAGCTAAGTATGCTTACAATATGGCACACGAACACAAAAAGGTTCACCATCTAGGTCCTACTGTATGTAGTCTGAATAAATTGATATTATGAAAGTTACTTTTACTGGAATAATATCATTTACTTTTTAAAAATTATCATTAAATATATATAATATATATTTAAATATTAAAAGAAATAAATAAGGAATTTACTATAAATTATTATTATTATCTTGAAAAATAAGATAGAAAAACATATTAATCATTAACTTTGAAATATTTCTCAAATTTCCAATCCTAATTAGGTGACGATAACTCCAATTTTCTTATATTATTACAATATATTTTGAAGAAAACAAAACACTTAGTATCTAGCTAGATGCTTCTTAACTTCCACAACGAAACCTTATTCCACTGAGAATTATTTATTAACGGTAACAAACATTTTCAACCTGTTATACAGGCCATCTTCAGGTTTTTTAAAATCTATGGAACATTGATAACTGTTCTTTTTGAATATAACAGTTTAGAACTCATTTAAAATATAAAAATCTTTGGAGTAATGAGCAATTTGAATCTAAAGAACAAAATACAGTAATACATATATAATTAAAATTGTGTATATATAAATATTTTATTATTTTGTTAAAATAATAAAATATAATCAGATAAAAAGGAAAAAAATGAAGAAATATTACATTCTTAACAAACTTGCATGTTTATACATATTCAGTTGACAAAAATTTTGAGCTATTGTGTAGTAGTGCTTTCTGCGACTTTGGTTTTAGTAGCATCAAAATGAATTTAAGGCTGATCTCCAACTTTTCAAATTTATCTTCTAAATCTAATATTGGAGAATTTCATATTGCAGTTAACATGTTAAGTTTTCCAATAAAACAGAATAAATCAAAATCACTTGTAAAAAATAATTTTCTGTTTAATCTACAGTTATAATGTAAGAAAATCCTAGTTTTTACAGTAAAAAATAAAAGTAAATTTTAAGATCTGAGAACTAAATTTCCTTTATGATATACAATGCTATTATTTGACTTTCAGACATTTTAGTATACATTTATAGGAATTCATTATTTCTGAAAGTTGGGAACAGCCATATACATTAATGTTGTATTTCTACAGATTCCACATTTCAATTTTAATTTAAAATTTGAATTATTTTTCAATATATTTGAATATACTATTTATCTGAAATCATTATTGTAAATAAAAATGAAAACATTTGACTTTAATTCCTGTCAACTATAGGATCAATGTCTTTGCATTTACAAATGAAATCTATTGCCAAATAGCTTTCAGAAATAGCAAAATTTAAAATTAAGAAAATATAAATTAAATCAGAATGTACAAGAGAATATTTCAATACTGTTTTTAATTAAAATGTATTAGGAAAAAATTGTAAAAAAGTTTTATAATTTGCTAATACCAACAAGCAATTATTTAATCACAATGTTCTCAAATTTTTTAGTAGTGCCTTGCCCCTGTACATCATATTTTTCCTGTTAGCAATAGAGTTATATCAGTCATCTATGTAACTCCATTCAGGGGAAAATTTTTGAATTGAAATAACATGACTTCCAGTTTGTATATAGGTAATCTGGGCCTCCTGCTCTAAGCTTTGTTTGTTTGTTTGTTTTATTAAGTCGCGGCAATGCAACACTTATGGTGACCTGCCTAGGGGAATGCCTTCCGGGAGGTCTTTTTGAGGGTAATTGGCCCCTATTCAAGCATTACAGACGTAGAGAAAACCCAGAAAACTCCAAATGGCTAGCCAGTCCAGGTGAGGTGCGAATCCACAACTGAACTACCAGTATTCGGGGAATGAAACCTCTTGGCTACTGGTGGGCCCTGCCACTAAGCTCTCTATATCTAGCCTCAACTTTCATCTAACTCTATTCTCAAGATTATGGAAGGACAGACCAACAACAGTGGGAATTTATAGGTCTACAATTTTTTCAAATTGCATCCCAATAAGTAAGAATGTTACTTTATATTTTTTATGGTTAATTTTTTCATTTATCACAAAGCACAAAAAAATATTCAGATACTACAATTTTACTAAAGTTCTGTTCAGTAATATATACAATACAGTTTGAAATAGTACAAAAATTTACTTGTAATGAAATTTACTTTAGAGATTTATGTATGAATGTAGTATAAACTAGAATATAGAAGATATATATTAGCTGTATTATATACTGAGTTTATAAAGATAATGATGACACTAATATGTTAATTAATATAAAAAAAGTTAGTATTAAAGGTTGTGTTAAGCACTTTTGAGGGCTTGGTTCAGTTTCTTTAGACATTATATACTGTAGATACAAATAGGGAACAAAAATAGCAGTGATATGAAGCATATAAGAAGACAAAATCCTTGGCCACAGTCACATTTTATCAGGTGTCCAGGCCACAGCCTGTGTTAATGTGACCCTGATAATATGTAAGTGATATATGATCAATTTTTGATAAAAAGTATTGATTATGTTTGCAATGTGTTTAGCTATGGTAATTTTATTAGTTGAAAATAGTTATTTAGTCTAAGCTTTTCTAAGCATCATTAAATTTTTTAAATTAAAGATAATGTTATTAAATTTTCACTTGTTAATCTATTTATTGTTATCTATTGTCAATTTATAGCAATAAATAATGAATTTTTATACTTTTTGATAATTATTTTAAAATATTCAATATTATAATAATTAATTTTAACAACTAAAGAATAGTGGAATAGTTTTATTTTGATAGATGTAACTTCTTACCATGAAACCATCTTTATTTGGTTTTCCTGTTAAATAACAATAGAAAATATCCCATATGTCCTCTTCATTAGCAAGTTCTCTACCCCACATGTCTAGTAACATTTCATCTGAGCATTTATTCTTCATAAAAAATAAATAATAATCCTTTAATTCTCCAAAAGCTGGTGAAGCAGAATTTCCCCAACGACCATTTGGAAATTCATCCCATGTCTGAGTTCTGTAAACGTAACTCTTATGTCTTAAGTTCCAAAAGATTGGACGGACAGTTTCACTACATCTCCTAAATAATGCAATTACTTTTTAAAATATTATTTGATGAATGTCTTATCAAATAAATTTTAAACAAAAACATTAAATATACCTATGATTAACTGGAACGGGCCAAGGCAATGGTTTATGAGGGCAGTTATTCCATAATCCGAGTTCTTTTAATATTGTTGTAGTAGCTATTTCTCGATTCAGTGTGTAGAAGTGCAAACCTGGAGTATTATCGTCGGATAGTAACTCTTGGCACAGTTTCACAGCTTGTTCTATTCCATATCTTCTGATGGCCTCATCATTACCCCTTATAGATTTAACAGCTTCTATAATCGAAGAAGGTACTTGCAGCTTTGATAATTTTACTATATGACGCAAGGAATCATAACTCTGGAATAAAAATTAGATATTCATAATTTCATGTTAATACTAATGAAACTTTAACTGCATAACTGTACCTGTATAGGTAGTATTCCGGGTATAATTGGTACTTTAATTCCAATTTTTCTACAGTTGCGCACAAATTCAATAAACCTTTTGGAGTCAAAAAACATTTGTGTAATGATAAAATCAGCACCAGCATCCACTTTCTTTTTCAAATGATATAGATCTTCCTCATAGGATTTAGATTCAGGATGTGCCCAGGGGTAGCCTTTTACAAAATAAACAATCTTGACAATACGATTTAACTTTCATCCTGTAGAATATTCCTGAACATACCTGCTACTCCGATAACAAAATAGTCTCCAAAAGTTTCTCGAATATGTTTTACTAAATCAGAAGCATATGAAAATGTGTGCGCTTTCTGTTCTTCACCTTTTATAAGATCTACAAAACATATTGAATATAAATGCCTAAATATAGCTAACAGTAATTATGTCTGCTACATATTATAATTACTTACACATATACTATACATATTAAATGACAAAATACTTGTCATCAGTATAAATTAATTTATACTATTACTAACCTCCTCTAAGTGCTAAGATATTTTTTAAACCAATGTCACGAGCTCTTCTGAGGTTCTGATTTACTTCCTCTTTGGTTTGATTGATACAAGTTAAATGCAACATCGTTTCCAAACCACAGTAGTTTAGAGCCGCTCCTGCAATTGTCATGCTGCTTGTCTCCGAATCAATGTTTAGATTACTAGTCGGATGCCACGTTACATCACAGAAAAGCGGGCCTCCCTGCTTCATTCTGTCAAATCTTATATTATAATAATAAAATAATTATAATTGAATATAGAAACTCTGTTTGAACCTATGTTTATAATAAAATATATAATATAAAACAATATTATGTGTTTACATTGAAATGTAAGCTACAGTTTCACCTTCCTACACATATACATATCAATGAATAGGTGTAGGAAGGTGGTGGAAAAAAGCATTGAAGAAAATAAGATGAGAATGGATGAAAGATAAGACAACTTGGAGGAAGTGTTTAAAAACAGTGATATCATGTAGAAATGACGTAAGCTAATGTAAGAAAAAAAGTCTAGATAATATATATAGACACATTTATCTACATTTTGGTAATAAAGTTTACCAAAGTGGCAGCTGACCACCTGAAGTAAATGGCACCTCAAGAATAAGAGTAGTAAGTTATAACTTATACTAAAATATAAATGCAATAAAGTATTTATTAGCTTATTTCTAAATTTAGCATATAATTTTTATCTATGAAGTCTGTCATTACTGATGTTTACTCCTAACACTAGATGTTTAGTCCTGACACAGGTTACTGATGTTTAGTCCTAACACTGGAGTAACTAAGGGGGCAAGGGTGGGCATGTGTCCTGAATGTTGACCTCGGGGCACCGAAATGAAACTATAGAATTAAAAGTCCATAGAATTTTTAGTAATTAACTTTGTATAGGACAACAAAACTGTTGGGCAGGATTCTTCTGTCTAGTGTAACATCAAAAGTATTGGTTAAATGAACTGTTTTACATATTGTTTTGATCGTTTTACATTAAAAGATAACAATTTACGCAGATTTCGATAATTTTTCTTTATAAAATATGAACCTTCAGGTAATTTTACCTATCAACTGAACCAAGAAATATTCTATACCTTGCCAGTAAATTAACAGCTCCACTTTTAGTTCGAGGTGGGAAGAATTCTAAAGAAAAAAACTTGTCTCCCGTGTCGATTCTGTGATGAATTCTATCGATTAAAGAGTTGTAAGTTCCTTGCAAAATGGGAGACGATGATCTGGATGTTGCGGATGACGATTCACAGTCGGAACTGCATACGCTCCCCGAAGAAACTCCAGAGGATTCGTCTAAAATATGAGTAACAACTTCTTCACGAACCATATTTGTTATAAAATAAAACCTCCAGACGTTAACATTGATCGTTCTCGCTTAAAAGCAAGAAGCCTCTGTTATGAATGTACAGTATTTATATAGGTTTTTCGATGATGCCATCTAGTGGTATCGATTATTAAGTGCATGCCATTTTTTTCTTTTTAAATTATCAGTCAGCTGATTCCTCAAAACATAAATGCTTCCCTCGCTAATTTATTTATAACTTTATTTTTAGTAAACTAAGTGTAGCAGTAGGTTTATTTTCCTAACTTAAGCACATCCCACAAATTGTTAGTGTGTAGTGTAGTTTAAAAAATTAATTATCTGAGGAAAGTACTTGTTTAACTATTAGAACAGCTGGAACAGCTGTTCTAATAGTTAAACAAGTACTTACTAAAATATTTTTCTACTTAGTCATGGAAAAATTATTTTTGTAGTGGTTTGTTTTACTAAATTTGGACAATTATATAGACTCCTCTTTACGATTTTCATGATTTCGATAAAAACATTGAGGTATTATACAGTTAACCTCAATTTATGACACTTACTGAAACGGCTCGCTTTACGACGTTTGACGTCGTTAAGCGAGCTGTTTTAATAAGTGTCGTATGCCATAGGTTTATGACGTAATATAAACCTTAATTTAAAAGCTATTTATCTTGTAAAAGTAGGAGTTTATTGTATATTTTACATGAAATTTTTGAAAAATTCTTTTGGTATCTTTTCAGATTAAGCTACAATTCATTAAGACCAGACGTTCTATATCAGCAAGTAATTGTTTATACGAAATTGAGATAAATGTGTTATATTTATACACATTTTTCATTTCTCTAATGATATCGTTTTGTAATAATTTTTTTCCTTCACTAAATATTTTTGGAAGCTAATTTCATACTGTTTAAATATAACAGATGTAATACTTTCTGATTGGTTGACTAAACTGTCATTAAAAAAACATAAATATCCGTCTAAAAAATAGTGATAAGTCATCAATAAAAACAAAAATCCATATGAATTTCTGTTATTTTATTATGTGGTTTTTTGTTTTTTACTTATGATTTTTTAACCTAAAATTGAATTTTCTTCTATACTTTGATTTGTTAAAAAAATACATTTGAACCATTGACTCGGGCAGTTGGTCACGGGTTCGCGCTTGATCAACCGGTCACGTGGAATTTTCTGGCTTTCTTCACGTGTTCAACACTGAATAAGGGTCAGAAAATCTTCCCGAGAGGCACTCCCTCTTGGCAGATCGCCCATATTGCATTGATTTATTCCACTAATCCACTCTGTTAATTGACGATTCACAACAAATTTGTCTATCTCATTAATTCAATTATTCAGCATTCTCGACATAATGAAGGAAATAAGTATAGACGGAGTTTATAATGTTATTTATTGCATTTTTCTGTAATTTTTAAAGCGTAATGTATGACATTTTAGATAAATTTGTTGAAAAGCTTATCCGCATTTATCATTTAAAAGGCAAAATAACTAAAACAGTTCAAATATTAGAGAATGAATGGCTTTATTTTGATTTTAAAGAGTTGAACACTGAAAACAAGAGTTGAAGACTCGAACACTGGTGAGCACTGAATCTAATGTTGATGGACGACTCTATCAAGATTCAGACTTGCTCATCAGTGTTCGAGTGGATAAAACCACAACACTGGTAGTGGGTTGGCGCCTAACTAATTGGAGTTTTCCGGTTTTTCTTCTAGTGTCTAACACCTAAAAGTGGACCAGGTTCCCGTAGAAGGTTTTTCCGACAGGCAGGCATTCCCGTTCGTTGCGTTTGCCTTATCCATCGAGAAACCGACTTGATATCTATAAAAGCTGTTCATTTAAATTATTCTAGTGTGTTACTGGGAGAATGATATTTTTAGCTGCGAAACAAATTTTCTGCTTTATAATGTGTGGGTGTAGCAGGAGGTGATGACACATGTCTAAATCTCGAATACCATTGCTTCGCGTTGCCAGCAATGCCTGGACTAGAACAGTGGTCAGTTTGAAAACACGGCATTAAGGGATAGGAACTATACAAATTAGCATCTTGGTCCTCTAGGTTCGAGATTGTGCGAATGGGTGATAATCCCTCCATGCAAAAAAATTTTTTTTTAATTCAGCTCCAGAGGAATATTATGGAAAGACCACCATAGCGATATAATAATCCATATCTGTACTAAGCTGTAGAGTTTTTCATTCAGAAAAGCATGTCTTATCAGATTGTCAGAATTCTCTTTATATGGTTCTTCTTGAAATATTGATTGCATTTCTCGTACATTTCTTTATCTAATAATAATAATTCAAAGTACAGAAAGAATGTCATCTGTTATAAAAAAAAAAATGTTTAAATATTTAAAAGCGATTTCACTGAAAGTGTGATAATGATGTTTACTATATTTTTTTTAAATCACCAACTGTTTTTTATATTTATAAGAATTATGCAATATGCCCTTAGATTGGATCATACACGTGGATAACACATTTTTTACAAAGTTCATATACAAAAAAACTTTTCCTTCTTTAAATGATTTAATAATATAGTTTAAAATACTGATTAATGGAATAAGGTAACGCAATATATGGACTGCCGAGGGAAAGTGCCTTCCTCCTGGGAAGACTTTCAATGGATAATTGGCCCTTATTCAGGTGTTAGATGGAAGAAAACCCGGAAAATTCCACGTGCCTGAACCCGCTATCGAGACTACAGGTGTTTACTGGTTTTATCCACTCCGTCACTGATGGGCTAAAAGGACAAATAAATTTCATAGATAAATTATTTGTGTAATATTTATTCTTGTACTTCTGAAGGTTTTATATATATATATATATTTATCTATCTTATGAAGAGATTTTTTCATACAGTTTGGTCGTTGGTCATTTTACTAAATAATTTTTATTCTTTCAGGGTGTGACTTTCTTCTTTGTTTTCAAATAGAAAAATTGAACTCGAGAGAAAAGAGAGTCACTTAACAAATTTTGCATAATTGATTTAATTAATATTGTTAAATTATACGGATCCTTCAATACAGAACAGTATAACATCGAAAGATAAGGTTCGAATCTTCGTCAGGATTCGAACGTGTGTCTTTCGATATGTTCTCCTGTATTTTTTACTTCTACTTCTACTTTTCTATTACTGTACTTCTAATTGTACTTTTAATAGAGGATCAGATAGAGAACATTCTTTATTCGATCCTACATAATGCTGAAGCATGGATTCGAACCCTTGTCCTTCAATATCATTTCTTCCTGCATTTTGTCTACATCTTATATTTTTATATGATTATCAGTTTCAAAACTTAGATTTTAGTGTATGAATGTTTTAGTTTCATCAACCCATAAAACTAAAACATTATTTAATTAATACTCAAATAATACACTCCTGTACGAATAATAAATAGATAATTTTAAACAGTTTCTTCAACATGTCACCGAGTCATGCATAAATGAATTATTCATTTATTATGGAACTCGGGATTCATTTGGAAGGTTATGTTAATTAATCATAGAACTATTTTTAGCAACGATTGTCAATTATTTTACTGTCTCATCTAAAACAAAATGATAATTCAAATATAAATTGCATCGAGATAAAATTCGATACAAGATTTTAATAATCTTCAGTTATCTGTCTGTCTAGTGTCGACAGATTTAGCTGTTTTACTCTTGAACTTTGTTTATGTAGGAGGAAAAGAAAATTAACTTTTGTTTATAAGAAGTAGATAAGTTCAAGGATAACAAATTGGAAAATTCCGTTCACGTGCATCGTTGGATGTTCAATACATGATCATTGATTCGAATCTTCAATCTCTTTAGACTTCAGAATCCCATTGATATAAAAATTTCGATGGTTTGTCAGTAAATAATTTAAGGATTCGAATCTTTCAAGATTCATTTGTTGAAGGTATTTATTTGGACTATAAATCAATTTTAATACTTTATAGAATGTGCAGTCTAGAAATTAATCGAGAAGACTCGGTTAAGTTCAGTTATTTTTAGTATAAAATAACTGTTAAACAGGAGTAATATGCAGGAAAACTTATTGAAGGGGTGGTTATTATTAAAGATCACTTTCTCTTGCAGAAGATGAAACTTTATTAATCGATGTGATACGGATGTGTACATAAACCGGAATATGTATCATTGATCCTCGACTTAAAGGACTCCAATATAATGAAGTTCGGAAACAACGATCAAACCCACTTGTTCCAGAGAGATTCAAATACTCAGCTTCTCGAGGGCCTCTAGTATACGGGTGCTAAAAATATAAAATTTGACAAAGTAAAGGTTTCTTTTCTTTTAATAAGTAATTGAATGAATAATTTGTAACAAATGTTTGAGGCCTTAGTCAAATGGACCTGGTGTTAGAAGCCCCCTCTGTGAAATGGGTCAGTAAGCCTCTAACAGAGGGACAAAAATGGAAATAAAATATTTGAAAATAGACTAATTTACTATATGCAATGTGCGTGCAAAACAGCTACAGTATTTTGATGATATGAAACAGTGCTTTGCAATTCGTTTATGCTTCTAACACAATAAAGTGCTATAAATTAAGACACTTGGCGGGTTGTCTCATCTTTATTTAGTTGAATTTATTTATGCTTCTAACACAATAAAGTGCTATAAATTAAGACACTTGGCGGGTTGTCTCATCTTTATTTAGTTGATACGTGTGAAAAAATTTACACGTTTCGGGCTTTTAAGCCCCTCTTCAGCCAACTAAAACATTAAAAGAGGATATAACATACATATAAAAAAATACACAAGTTTTGTAAAATTCATAAAAATATAAACATACCTATGCATACAAGTTTTTTTAAAAATTGAAGTAACAGCTACTCCCGACATTTTCCAGTAACATCAGCTTGTTCACAATATTTTTTCCTTTTAGCCAACTATAATATTAGGGGAGTATACGACATATATACAAACTGTACATCAGTTTCACAGAATCTATAAAACTATCTTCTATTAAGGCATACCTTGAGTACGGCTGTTATTAAAGTTGTACACAATTGATTGTACCTTTTACTTATAAAACAGTTCTATAAAATCCTTGATCTAAAACTGGTTAAAAATTTTATATTAATTATATTCACTAGATTCAAATTATTATTATTGTAATCAATGTGCTAATTAATAACTATTGAACTGTTAAATAAATCAACAATAACAAAAAACTGTAATGTTATAATGGGAGTCAAATAATATGTAAATTTATATTAAATAATGTTTACCAACTTCAAGACATTGTAATATCATTAGTTCAAATAATAATCTATAATATTAAATATTGAAATGTTAAATAAATCAACAATCATACATTGTAAAAAAATATAGTAGATGTCAGATATGTAAATTTATATTGTAGAAGTTATGTAAATTTGTATTATATTGTCAACGCGTATTAAAGGAAATAAGGATTTTGTAAACAGATTTATGAGTAGAAGGAATAATCAATTGTATACCAATTTGATAATTATTGTCCAATGTATATTTTAGATCAAGGATTTTATAGAACTGTTTTATAAGTAAAAGGTACAATCAATTGTGTACAACTTTAATAACAGCCGTACTCAAGGTATGCCTTAATAGAAGATAGTTTTATAGATTCTGTAAAACTGATGTATAGTTTGTATATATGTCGTATACTCCCCTAATATTATAGTTGGCTAAAAGGAAAAAATATTGTGAACAAGCTGATGTTACTGGAAAATGTCGGGAGTAGCTGTTACTTCAATTTTTAAAAAAACTTGTATGCATAGGTATGTTTATATTTTTATGAATTTTACAAAACTTGTGTATTTTTTTATATGTATGTTATATCCTCTTTTAATGTTTTAGTTGGCTGAAGAGGGGCTTAAAAGCCCGAAACGTATAAATTTTTTCACACGTATCAACTAAATAAAGATGAGACAACCCGCCAAGTGTCTTAATTTATAGCACTTTATTGTGTTAGAAGCATAAATAAATTCAACTAAATAAAGATGAGACAACCCGCCAAGTGTCTTAATTTATAGCACTTTATTGTGTTAGAAGCATAAGCTACAGTATTGTTTAGATCCTTGCTTGTTTCCTGCGTACAAAAGTCAATAGTCAGACGTTTAGCTCTTTCTTAGAAGTGTAGCGCTTGTTTTCCTCATATTTACTACAATATAGACTTTGTATATTTTATCATATCTATATAAAATTTGTTCCAGGGTTGTTCATGATATCTTCGAAGCTATTATCAGACCAGCTCTTCCCAACAGTAGCGAAGGTCAACAGTACTTTATACTATAACTTAGTCATCAAGCTTGTATTGAAAACACATTGACCTATAATTTGAAGGAAACAATCATATAATAAGGAACAACGGCAGAAAATCAGATTATAGTAAAATTTATACGAAGTAATAAATTTTTATTCAGATCAACTGGAATAAAAATGATACAGGATAACTAAACCAGTGAATGGCCATGTGAAGGGGTCAAGACTTTTAGTTAGTTCAGAATTATTTTGTATAGCTGCCGTTTTTCCCAAATTAACGAGATGTAACTTAAAGTATATTGTTCTGTGGAAAGTTGTGTATTAACCACTGTTAGGAAACACGTAGGTCTTTTACTGGTATGAAATGTCTAAAAATTACTTTCATTCATTTACTGGCATTATTTTAGTCATAATATTGACGTATTAACTTAGAATTCCAGTGAATGACAGATGATGATCATTCACTGGTAGTCGGAAAAAAATTGTGGAAAAAATATTAATTTTAATATTTTTAATTCTTACATAATCAAATTATTTAATATATTAAGTAATAATTTACCGTGTTTAATTTTAATTTAGGATAAAATATTTATTCAGACAAGATGGAATATACTTTCAATTTTGCAGATTCCCTGTCCTATCTCCCAACACTTAGAACATGTTTTTTCAAATTGTTTAAGTGGACAAAAATGCTTATTTTATAGGAAGATTATATCCTAAATGTAACGCGTTTGGCTTCTCAGTGCCCACCAGTGACCGAGTGGATAAAACCACCGAACACTTACAGTCGGTCGCGGGTTCGCGCCCGACCAACAGCTAGCCACGTGGAGTTTTCCAGGTTTTCTTCGTGTGTAACACCTCAATAGGGGCCAACTTTCCTTAGATTCCGTAAAGGTCCTCCCGTCTTTAGCAGATCGCACGTGGGTTGTGTTGACTTATTTCATCAATCCATCTAGCATCACGTGTATTCATGTTTACTCTTTTCCGTTTTTAAAGCATAAGGATGTCTCTTTTTTTTAAATAGATTTTAATCTCTTTAAAGAAATATTATTCGTATAATTTGTTTTGAAAGTACAACATAAACACTTCAAGTATATCTAATCAATAAATTAACTAAGAGGAGGAGTAAAATACCCTCTGAAATCCTGAGATATCTGTAAACATAATACTTAAGAACATCAATAATAATTCCAGTCACGTATAATTAAAAACACAGAAATGGTTTTATATTTTAAAAAAGATTTAAAATGTATAATAAAGTAAACAGAAAAAAATAAATATAAAATCTAGAAATTTAGTTTTAATTAGTCACAAGATGATTTGTGATTTATTTATGATGATTTATTCGATAAAAATCCATTGAAACGTATAAAATTAGCTACTCTGAAGAATCAACATAAATAAATTTTGCTAATGACATGATATTTATATCAAAGATCAAAAATATTTTTAGAATTATTAATATAAACTAGCAAAAGAATTTTATATTTAACCTGCTTATTTTGTATACATTTAAGTGTTTAGAGTGAAATTCTTTGAAGTCCATAAATTTATTTTTTTTTAATTCTAAATTTCTAGTTAAAAGAATTTGAAGAGAAATTTTTGACACTAAACCAAAGAATCTCATACAATAAGAATTATGTATAGTAATGAGGTCTGCATACATATTTGAGTTTGAAAATCAAGCAATTTTATGATGATTGCAACGTAAAATCACATATTTTGTGATTCACAGATGCCAAAATCTCTAATTAACATTAATGGACAAGATCCGATCATAAGGATTTATTGACATTTTACGGCTTGGTATCTTATAAACGTTTAGAGAATCATATGTATATATATAAGGGCAGCGCAAAAGATAGTTAACCGAAATTATATAAACATATAAATTGGCAGTAGCCGCGGCGCACAGTTGAGTGTGTGCTTCAAAGTTGGCATTAAATCACGGACGCTCGAAATAGATTCATGAAATCACTCTTACTTTGTGGGGAAGTATTCCGACCATAAAATAAAACATGCAACAAATTTTAAGCTGTTTACTACATTAAATAAAAGCCCGCTTTTGACTCGATGCTCTTAACCTCATTTTGATGGCGTAACTTAACACAGCAGCAGGCGGTGATTCAATATTTTGTTTCTTTTTTTTGTGATTTTTCTGTTTTTAACATTATCTTTATGGTATCCTGTTCGTTTTGACATCTCTCCTCTCAAAAACAAAAATTGGTTTTCGATATCATTATGCCCAGAACCTCTCGTAATATAAAAGGATCTTTCGTGTTACGGACGTGTTGAAACTCGTTCCCGCATTAAATGAATGTTGTCACTCAACGAATATAATAATTCGAGTCGTAAACTTCATGTTTTAAAATATTTTTTTGCCAACTTTCAAGGCCTTTTTCATTACTGTGCAGCGGTATGAGCGATCAGGAATCAAATCCGGGCGTATTTTTCGAGGATTACGGATAATAACTACTGTACTTGGTTTAGAAATATAGTTTATAATTTGTGTATAAATTTCTTTAAAAATTATAAATAATTAATAATTTTCCTGATTTTATCTAGTTATTAAAGATTAATTTCTGGGAAAGCATTAACAATGGTAAACATTTATTGTTATAGTATTGCCGAACAAATGTAGTCAATTTAATAGAATACAACCATAAGACCCATGGGCTGTATTTGTTCCAAATCGTCTCCTAATACTAAACTGTAAGTTTTATATCCCAGTTCTCTTAAGAAATTGTTAAATCTTTATTGTAATATTATCTTTAATCTTTAGAGTGAATCGTGGAAACGCGCCCGAATCCATTAGATCCACAGAAATGAAGTTGTCGGGTGGTTTAGATTCGTACGTAAATGAACCCGCACTTCCAAAAATTCCTTTTGGAACATCTGGACAAAACCGGACACCCACAACAAATAGAAGGGAATGCAATGTGACGACGTTTGTGCCATCCAAAAATAATGATTTAGAATTTGATTCGGTGGATTTTCCGTCCGAATCTGATTTAATTTCGAATATTGAATCAGTTCCACTTTTCACCCAAGAAGAATTGCAAGAAATATTTGGTAGATTCTTGGAAGTGCGTCCATCTCCAACCGAACATTCCATCATCAAAGTTAAAATAATGACTCCAAATACAGGTCGAGAAGAATACGGAGAGAGATTTATAAAAGCGAAAGACGACCTCACCAAATTCTTGGTCAAACAGATCATTAATTTTATTTTCACTAACTTTGGATCGTGAAAAAATTCGATTGAGATTTTTTTCTAAATCTTCACATTTAAATATATTTTGAGAATGTTAATAAATGATTAAATATGTTATATTAAAATTCATTTGAAATTTTCATTATGAATTTTAAATGTGTCTATAATATATTGGATTTTTTTTTAAACAAAAGATAGTTCAGTTTAGTATTTACCCAATAGTGACCCAGTAGAAAAAACCATTGAACATTGGTAGTTTGTTGTGGTTTCGCGCCTCATCAGCGGCCTGGCCGCGTGTGATTTTTCGGGCATTCATCACGTGTCTAAAATCTAAATAGGGGCCAGTTTCCCATAGAAAATCTTTCCCGTGGGGACAGATCGTCCACGTGTCACGTTGACATTTACAAATAAACCATAGTTACTGAAAATTTATGAAATGGAACAGAATCAGATTTCGTTTGTCTAGATTTACAATGAGTCATGCATCAATATACTATTTGTGTTAATATTAATAATATAAATTTCGCATTCGTTTATTTTTCTCAGTGAAATGGCGTTTAAAAAGCAAATCCAGCGGCATTTCGAAGCATTAAAGCGAACCACACTTCTCTTTTATTTCTTATCCTGCATCTATCTCGTAGGCTAAAGGCTTGAGCTAAAAGTTTGTTCCATTGTTATGAATAGTGCACATTTTTACGTAAATTTGAAGTTGTTGCCACAAAAATGACGTAAAGTGTACAATATCCCAACCAATCGAGAAGCGAACACGGAAAGACAGTGAAACCGGTTAACTCGAAGTCATTTTCTTTCCCCGATCGTCTACTATAAGGAATTCTACGTTAATTCAAACCGGTTAATACACTTCTGCATCCTAGGAGGATACAGGGAAAATTCCCAAAACTAGGGAATTTTAAAGAATAAAGGGGAAAACGGAAAAAAATAGTTTAAAACCAAGGTCTTAGAATCTAAGACCTTGGTTTAAAACACCTAAATCTAAGATTTTTACACTCAAAATATATTTCGAGTGCGTGAAATCATTAATTATAAAACAATGTTTAATGCGACATTTTTATATGCAATAATACAAAACTAAAGAATAGCATTTTTATTCTTAAATCTCGTTTATTACAGTTCTTGAGTCTTTACAGAAAAAATTTCAGATTTGGCATTAATTTTCTAGTCTTACGTGGCAACACTTAATATTGCATGGCGACACGTCAACGTGACGTCAGTGCTTGTCAATCTGCAATCGTCGGTCTAGGGAATTTTCTTCTTCGAAAGGGAAAGGGAATTTTGGAGGTGGCGTCAGAGTACCTTTTTCTCTGTTCTGTCTGTTTCTATTGCAACTTGTTTGTATCGATTAAAGCAAGCTTATTTCTTGTTTCCGTAAAAATGTCCGGCAAATGTTATGAAAAAGGTATGAATGACGATGAAATTAAGAATTATTTATATTAATTTTGTTCGACATTAGTTAAAATTTTATTAACGCCTCTTGCTCCAGACGATGGCGCTGAGATCGCTTTTCTGCTAGATTTAAGTACATAATGGCTTTAATATATAAATATTTAAATAAATTGTTTTTTTAAATATCTTTTCAAGTACATTAACGGTTCTTTACTGATTTCTCCAAGAATTTTGCAGAAAAAACTAACTATAAACAATATACACTACATTCAGTGATCTATATATATTATACATACTACATATGATATATACATAATTATTGTAGCAACAGATCCTTATAGCAGTGAGGTTACTTAAAAACAATGCTACTATATTAAAACAAATGAATCTTTATTGTAAGTGGGATATCTTCCTCTTGCTTTTAGTTTGTTTTCATGTAAAAAAATGCAGTCTGATTATAATGTACAAATGAATATCTTTAGCTGTAAGTGTCCATCGGTAGAACATCTGACTTGCAACTTCACTAGCCATGCAGAGTTCTCAACGTCAAAATAGACATTTTCGGTTAAATAATAGCACATAGAATAACATATGCCTCTATAAATTCTAGGAGTTGGTACTGCTCATATATATATATATATAGTAATTAATTATAAATTTGTAAACTTCGTATATGTTTGTTTCTTTGCGTGCAAAGTTTNATAACTCCAAAAGAGTATGTGAGTACTGGGATGACATATGTGTTTATTGCTTTAACTGTGTGTTTTGCATTTAACTGTGTTCTGAGGATAGCATTTAACCTACTTTGGTATTCTTTAATTAACCTTTGCTTTGTTTGTGTATGTTCTGTTAGTTTGGCCTATTGAAATCCTAAATACTTGTAGAAATCGCTCTCTTCCATGGATTCAATAACGTCTCCATTTCCAAGTGCAAAATCTTCTTTCTTCAGGACTCCTTTGTCTATGTGAAGTGTTTTGCATTTGTCTAGGCCAGCGTTTCTCAACCTCTAACGAATCGTCGCCCCCTTCAATAAAACTGTTACCTGCTATTGCCCTCTTCGCTTCAAAATTCCGATGCCAAGGACCAAGACTAACGCCAAATTCGTACTGCATTGAATAGACTTGACTAGTATAACATTGTTTGTTTAATTATTGTACGATATAATGAATAATATAAAATATTTAATTATTCTTAATATAATGTTTTACTATATTGCCCAGAAAATTGTTTTTTGCCCCCAAAATATAAATTGTTACTAATCACCCCCTCGACATGGAAAAACGCCCGCATGGGGGCAATATCGCTCCTGTTGAGAAACACTGGTCTAGGCCAAACTCCATTTGTATGTCCTTGGTGTATGAATGTGTGATTTGTAAGAGTTGATAAATATCTCCACAGAATGTGGGTGTGGGTGTGGGTGTCATTATTTTTGATAGTAATTAACACCCATTTATGAGAATGAATGTTAATTACTATCAATAATAATGAAGTTTCAGTATCCAATAGCATCAGGAGGCTTACTTTGCATATTTGAACATCAAACTGTGTGTGAACACTAAGAGACTAACATTCAATATATTTACAAGTGGCATGACCTCAAATATGCCATGAAGCTTACTGTTACCCTTGGATGCTGAAACTTTGGAATTAATGGTATTATTGAAACTAGATAAGACCTAGATATACTTGGTATCCTACTGCAGGGATGGCAAACCTATGGCATGCGTGCCCAAAGTGGCACGTAAGGAGAAATCATCTGGCACGTAATGTATCATACGATTTCTGTCTTTTTCAATAATCTTTTCGGTTTATTACCTGATCATCCTTTTTTCAGTCAGCTTTTTTACATTTATTCTAATTGAAGCATATTCGTTTAATTTCTTTAAATATCGTTATTCTAAGTCTGAAACTTTGGCACGCATAAACATCTTTAAAGCTAAGTATGCTTACAATATGGCACACGAACACAAAAAGGTTCACCATCTAGGTCCTACTGTATGTAGTCTGAATAAATTGATATTATGAAAGTTACTTTTACTGGAATAATATCATTTACTTTTTAAAAATTATCATTAAATATATATAAAAGGGAATTCTCTTTATAGGCAGATTAAGGATGGTGTTGTTTATGCTTATTAAGTGTTGTTCTTGTTTTCCTTTGGAGTTGCTCGAGATCTGTGTGAGTCCAATGTATAACTCCAAAAGAGTATGTGAGTACTGGGATGACATATGTGTTTATTGCTTTAACTGTGTGTTTTGCATTTAACTGTGTTCTAAGTATAGCGTTTAACCTACTTTGGTATTCTTTAATTAATCGTTGCTTTATTTGTGTATGTTCTGTTAGTTTGGCCTGTTGGAATCCTAAGTACTTGTAGAACTCGCCCTCTTCCATGGATTCAATAACG